CCACCACCAGGTGACCGAAGAGGTGGAGGCGATGCGGTTCAACACGGCCATAGCAGCCATGCTGGAATTCACCAACGCCGCCTACAAGTGGCCAACACACACATGCGGACACCTCGTCCCCATTAAACCCACCACATGCTCACCGCCTTCCCATTCCCCCCTTTACCCCCCCACCACCAGGTGACCGAAGAGGTGGAGGCGATGCGGTTCAACACAGCCATAGCATCCATGATGGAATTCACCAACGCCGCCTACAAGTGGCCAACACACACATGCGGACACCTCGTCCCCATTAAACCCACCACATGCTCACCGCCTTCCCATTCCCCCCCTTACCCCCCCACCACCAGGTGACCGAAGAGGTGGAGGCGATGCAGTTCAACACGGCCATAGCAGCCACGATGGAATTCCCCAACGCCGCCTACAAGTGGCCAACACACACATGCGGACACCTCGTCCCCATTAAACCCACCACATGCTCACCGCCTTCCCATTCCCCCCCTTACCCCCCCACCACCAGGTGACCGAAGAGGTGGAGGCGATGCGGTTCAACACGGCCATAGCATCCATGATGGAATTCACCAACGCCGCCTACAAGTGGCCAACACACACATGCGGACACCTCGTCCCCATTAAACCCACCACATGCTCACCGCCTTCCCATTCCCCCCCTTACCCCCCCACCACCAGGTGACCGAAGAGGTGGAGGCGATGCAGTTCAACACGGCCATAGCAGCCACGATGGAATTCCCCAACGCCGCCTACAAGTGGCCAACACACACATGCGGACACCTCGTCCCCATTAAACCCACCACATGCTCACCGCCTTCCCATTCCCCCCCTTACCCCCCCACCACCAGGTGACCGAAGAGGTGGAGGCGATGCGGTTCAACACGGCCATAGCATCCATGATGGAATTCACCAACGCCGCCTACAAGTGGCCAACACACACATGCGGACACCTCGTCCCCATTAAACCCACCACATGCTCACCGCCTTCCCATTCCCCCCCTTACCCCCCCACCACCAGGTGACCGAAGAGGTGGAGGCGATGCGGTTCAACACGGCCATAGCATCCATGATGGAATTCACCAACGCCGCCTACAAGTGGCCAACACACACATGCGGACACCTCGTCCCCATTAAACCCACCACATGCTCACCGCCTTCCCATTCCCCCCCTTACCCCCCCACCACCAGGTGACCGAAGAGGTGGAGGCGATGCGGTTCAACACGGCCATAGCATCCATGATGGAATTCACCAACGCCGCCTACAAGTGGCCAACACACACATGCGGACACCTCGTCCCCATTAAACCCACCACATGCTCACCGCCTTCCCATTCCCCCCCTTACCCCCCCACCACCAGGTGACCGAAGAGGTGGAGGCGATGCGGTTCAACACGGCCATAGCATCCATGATGGAATTCACCAACGCCGCCTACAAGTGGCCAACACACACATGCGGACACCTCGTCCCCATTAAACCCACCACATGCTCACCGCCTTCCCATTCCCCCCCTTACCCCCCCCACCACCAGGTGACCGAAGAGGTGGAGGCGATGCGGTTCAACACGGCCATAGCATCCATGATGGAATTCACCAACGCCGCCTACAAGTGGCCAACACACACATGCGGACACCTCGTCCCCATTAAACCCACCACATGCTCACCGCCTTCCCATTCCCCCCCTTACCCCCCCACCACCAGGTGACCGAAGAGGTGGAGGCGATGCGGTTCAACACGGCCATAGCATCCATGATGGAATTCACCAACGCCGCCTACAAGTGGCCAACACACACATGCGGACACCTCGTCCCCATTAAACCCACCACATGCTCACCGCCTTCCCATTCCCCCCCTTACCCCCCCACCACCAGGTGACCGAAGAGGTGGAGGCGATGCGGTTCAACACGGCCATAGCATCCATGATGGAATTCACCAACGCCGCCTACAAGTGGCCAACACACACATGCGGACACCTCGTCCCCATTAAACCCACCACATGCTCACCGCCTTCCCATTCCCCCCCTTACCCCCCCACCACCAGGTGACCGAAGAGGTGGAGGCGATGCGGTTCAACACGGCCATAGCATCCATGATGGAATTCACCAACGCCGCCTACAAGTGGCCAACACACACATGCGGACACCTCGTCCCCATTAAACCCACCACATGCTCACCGCCTTCCCATTCCCCCCCTTACCCCCCCACCACCAGGTGACCGAAGAGGTGGAGGCGATGCGGTTCAACACGGCCATAGCATCCATGATGGAATTCACCAACGCCGCCTACAAGTGGCCAACACACACATGCGGACACCTCGTCCCCATTAAACCCACCACATGCTCACCGCCTTCCCATTCCCCCCCTTACCCCCCCACCACCAGGTGACCGAAGAGGTGGAGGCGATGCGGTTCAACACGGCCATAGCAGCCATGCTGGAGTTCACCAACGCCGCCTACAAGTGGCCAACACACACATGCGGACACCTCGTCCCCATTAAACCCACCACATGCTCACCGCCTTCCCATTCCCCCCCTTACCCCCCCACCACCAGGTGACCGAAGAGGTGGAGGCGATGCGGTTCAACACGGCCATAGCAGCCATGCTGGAATTCACCAACGCCGCCTACAAGTGGCCAACACACACATGCGGACACCTCGTCCCCATTAAACCCACCACATGCTCACCGCCTTCCCATTCCCCCCCTTACCCCCCCACCACCAGGTGACCGAAGAGGTGGAGGCGATGCGGTTCAACACGGCCATAGCAGCCATGCTGGAATTCACCAACGCCGCCTACAAGTGGCCAACACACACATGCGGACACCTCGTCCCCATTAAACCCACCACATGCTCACCGCCTTCCCATTCCCCCCCTTACCCCCCCACCACCAGGTGATCGAAGAGGTGGAGGCGATGCGGTTCAACACGGCCATAGCAGCCATGCTGGAATTCACCAACGCCGCCTACAAGTGGCCAACACACACATGCGGACACCTCGTCCCCATTAAACCCACCACATGCTCACCGCCTTCCCATTCCCCCCCTTACCCCCCCACCACCAGGTGACCGAAGAGGTGGAGGCGATGCGGTTCAACACGGCAATAGCGGCCACGATGGAATTCACCAACGCCGCCTACAAGTGGCTTTTGGGTCCACTCAAAGCTCCCCCCTCCCCCACCCCCCACAACAGGTGACGGAGGAGGTGGAGGCGATGCGGTTCAACACGGCCATAGCGGCCATGATGGAGTTCACCAACGCCGCCTACAAGTGGCCCAACGTGCCGAAAGACGCCGCCCGCCCGCTCGTGCTGCTGCTCTCGCCCTTCGCCCCGCACGTGGCTGAGGAGCTCTGGCAGCGCCTGGGAGGCACCTCGTCCCTCGCCTATGAGCCGTGGCCGCAGGTAGGGTTGTGTATGGGCACTGACGACGAACCTTGTCGCTGAGGAGCTCTGACAGCGCCTGCGGGGCCTCCTCCTTCCTCACTTACAAGCCATGGCCGCAGGTGGGGTTAAACTTGAGTGTGTAGCACTCAGGGCTTGACTGTGAAATCCGTTGAAAGGGGGACTCCTGCAGCGCCTAGCACACTCGTTGTCGCTGGCATACGAGCCGTGGCCACAGGAAGGTCGGTTGGTGAAGCACCCTGGAGTGACGTGTCTCAACGTGCAAAAGCCAGTTGCAAGGGCATCTCTTGCAGCGCCTGGGTTGCGCTGCTTCCCTCGGCCACGCCCATCATCAGCGTTTGTTGACCATTATAGGCCCTCCCTTTATCCATCCCCTCACCCCTCCTCCTTTTCCTTTCCTCCCCACCAGGCCTTACCCCGATACCTGGTCGAGGATACAATAGCGCTGCCAGTGCAGGTGAACGGCAAGGTGCACGCTACACTGCAGGTGCCATGCTAGCGCTATCCCCCTTACTTTTACCTTTCCTTCCCCTCCGCCTTATTCTTCCTTCCCTCCCCACCAGGCCCTGCCCCAGTACCTGGTGGAGGATACAATAGCCCTGCCAGTGCAGGTGAACGGCAAGGTGCGCACCACACTGCAGGTGCCGTGCTACTGCAACCCCCGTACTCTTACCTTTCCTTCCCCTTCTGCTTCCCTGTCCCCTTGCCGTTTCCTCTCCCCTCTCCCACCAGGCCCTGCCCCAGTACCTGGTGGAGGATACAATAGCCCTGCCAGTGCAGGTGAACGGCAAGGTGCGAGCCACACTGCAGGTGGCGGTGGGGGTGGAGCAGGAAGCAGCGGTGGCGGCAGCACTGGCCCACCCCAATGTGGCCCGGCTGGTGGAGGGGAAGAGCGTGCGCAAGACCATCTTTGTCAAGGGAAGGATTCTCAACCTGGTGGTGGGATGAGGTGGAGGGGAATATCATCCACGAGTCGATTCGAAGTGGCTTCTTGGTTGACTCAGGTCATCTCGGCTGGTGGAGGGGAAGAGCGTGCGCATTTGCTGCTGCCTCATTCCAATCCTAGAAACAAATGTCATTGGCAATGAACAAGGTACCGTAGCTGCTGCCTCGGTTGATTAGAAACACTGAACCAAAGCAGTGTCCCATTACCAGTAGCTCTACTAACACAAAGTCATTACACAATCCCATACGCAGTGAAGGGAGACTGCACTGGTTGGTGGTTGCTTGCCGGAGCACTGGTCGTAAATGAAAGCAGCAAACACTAATAACGTATGTTAGTAGTCAAGAGAAAGGTATGGCATGAATGAATATAATCCTGTACTAGGGAATTCATTGTGAGGGTTCAACGACAGCCATCCATCCATGATCCATTAGTCTTCTGTTCCTCCACACAGCAGATGCTGGCACACGGTAACTAAGCAATCATAATCTCTCCACAACTCCTCTCCCCTTTCCCTAACACCACACCTCTTCACCCCACCTCACATCACGCCTCCTCCTCGTCCTCCTCCCCATCCACCACCACAACCCCCACCTCCTCCTCCTCTGAGTTTTGAGACGCCTCAAAAGATCCACCCTCCACCTCACATCACGCCTCCTCCTCGTCCTCCTCCCCATCCACCACCACAACCCCCACCTCCTCCTCCGCCGCCCAGTGCTCCTCCCACCAATGGGGCTGCAGCACCGCCAGCGCCTCCTCCAGCTGCTGCCGTATCCCTGCCAGCTGGCGGCCGTCCGGCATCGCCACGTCAGCAGGTGCCACGTCAGCGCCAAAGAGCTTTGCCGCCCGTGCGACGTACTGTGAGACTGCTGTTTGCTGCTCATGCGTGAGTGTGGTAGATGAGGAGGAGGAAGAAGAGGAAGAGGAAGAGGTGGAGGAGAGAAGGGAGGAAGAAGAGGAGCTGGTGACACGTGGCAGCATCTGATAGGTGTGCAGCAGCATGAGAGGCGCCATCAGAGCATCCACACACGGCTGAGTGGGCGGCCAGTCCCAGACAGGCGCCGCCGCCCGCTCCCTCCTCTCTATCACCTGTAGCAGGGCGGCGCAGTGCGGCATGTCCCGCCACCCGCTGCGACAATCCAGAATCAAATCTTCATAAATAGCCAAGGAAACCAGCAGCAGCAGGGGGAGGCGCTTGGGTTTCGTCCCTACAAAGCCTTCAAAGGAAGGCAGGTCAAAGTGGCTGGAACCCCACTGCACCACTCTGAACACCACATCCACCTTCACCTGCATCGGCAGCGCTGCCAGCACCCCCATCACACTCGCTCCATACACCGAGTCTTCGCCGCCCAGCGGAATCAGCCTCGGGACCTTGCCGAAGCTGCTTCCGAGCCTGCTTGTCTGGTTCGGGCTCACAACTGGTGGTTCCTGAATGGATAGCTGCTGCGGCGATTTCTGCTGCTGCAATTGCTGCTGTTGCTGCTGCCGCTGCTCCTGTTGCTGGGCATGCTGCTGCTGCTGCTGCTGGTACTGGACTGGGTGGTGGTGGTGCCGTGACTGGTGGGAAGGTCTCGACGAGTCAGTGTGCGTGCGAGCGATGGTAGGTTGCTCGTTACCCGAGTCAGTCCGACCGTGCCCGAAAGCCTGCAGCAGCGAGCCGGGGAGGCTCATAGACATCATCTTCTGCATCATCTCGGGGGTAGTACTGTTCATGTGGGCGCTACTGTTCATGGGAAGGTTCCTGTTCATGCTGCCAGTCATCCCCCCAACTGCGCCTGGGGCCATACCCGCACCGCCACCATACCCAGAGCCCTCTTCTCCCTCCATTCCCCCATCGCCCCATGCTTGACCTCCCCCTCCTCCCCCCGCTTCTCCCCCTGCATCCCCGCCCATGCCACCTGTGCGCCCCATCCAGGCACGTCTGTTGCCGTGCCGCCTGCCTCGTGACAGCAGCGGCCCGCTCAGCACCTTCTTGCCCTTTGCGTTGGCCCACCCTCTTGCCTGCCCCACCTGCCCTCCCCCTCCACCCCCACCATCCCTTCCACCCTCACCACCATAACCAGCAGCAGCAGGAGCAGCGGCAGCAGCATCAAGCCCCCTGCCTCCGCTGCCCCAAAAGCTCTCCCCACTGCTGCCTCCTGAACCAGAGTGCCCAGGCTCGGCAGGCCAGGCGCGGGGGTGGTGCGGGAGAGAGTTAGTGGTGCGGAGCTGGTACTGGGAGTCGGAGGGCTCTGATTCATCATAGCTGCCTGGGATCCACACAGAGGATGCGGATGGGTGGGGTGGGTTGGTGTGGGTGGGTGCACCTGCGGATTGCATGTGCTGCTGCTGCTGATACTGCTGCTGCTGCTGCCACTGCTGGGGCTGCTGCATCTGCTGCTGCTGATTCTGGTGTTGATACTGCTGCTGCTGCTGCTGCTGCTGCTGCTGCTGCTGCTGCTGCTGCTGCTGCATCTGCTGCTGCTGCTGCATCTGCTGCTGCTGCTGCATCTGCTGCTGCTGCTGCATCTGCTGCTGCTGCTGCATCTGCTGCTGCTGCTGCATCTGCTGCTCTGGTTCATGCTGCCACGGCTGCGAGTGTTGGAACACGGGGCCTGAGGCACACGAGGAGTCAGAGGACAACCGAGGGCCCGTAGATTGTACCAGGGTATAGCCCGATTGTTGCATCCCCACGGGAAGCTGCTGTTGCTGCTGTTGCTGCTGCTGCAGCCATGGCTGTGAGTGTGAGTGTGGTTGTGGGAGGGTGAGTGAGGTGCGAGGCGACAGCGGGGGCAGACCTGCCTGCTGCTTCTGCTGCTTCCGATGTTGCGGTGCCAGCTGTTGCTGCTGCTGCAGCTGAATCCCTGCCTGCTGCAGCTGCATCTGCTCCTGCTGCGTCAACTGCCCCTCCCCGCTCTGCCGACCCAGCCGCCGCAGATCCCCCTTCCCCAGGCGCAGCCTATCAGACACATCAGTCAGCGCCTTCCTGGCCAGCAGCCCTCCCACTCCCGCCATCCCCTCTCCCCCTGCAGCGCCCGCCCCGAGCCTCTGACTCCTGGGCATGTCAGACCAGGATTTGGGTACATTCAACCCCATGCCTGTGTTCATGCTCAGCGTTCGGCTTGCAATGCTCAACGTTCTACTTGCCCCTGCCCCTATCCCAGCCCCTGCCCCTGCTCCTACCCCTACACCTGCCCCCGCTGCCCCTGCTCCGCCCCCTGCCCCCTTCCCCTTAGCATGGCCAAACGGCATCGAGTAAAACAGCCGGTTACTCGGCCTCACCCTCCCCTTCCCCCCAGCGTCCCCCTCTCCTTGCTGCTGCATCACCCCCTGCCCCTGCCCTTGATCCCCCCCTTGCTCAAAGCCCAGCCCCAAACCTAACCCCTGCCCCTGGCCTAGCTCCTGCCCTTGGATCCAGGATCGGTAACAGTTGGGGGGGATGGCAACGCCTCTTGGGCTGACCAATGCCGCTGCTACCGGTGCTGCTGGTGATGCTGATGCCGCAACTGATGCTTGTGCGGAAGGTGATACTAGGCCGCCGTTGTTATAAGAACTCAACACCCCATACTCCATCTCCTCCTGCTCTTCCTCCTCATCCATTAAATAATCCCCACCCACCCCAGGCCTCCCACCGGACCTCCGGCGAACCAGGCTCAGTTCCGGAGGCTCAGACGACACAGAGAAGCGGGGAGGCTGGGTGAGGCTAGGGGGGGAGGAGGAGGGAAAGGAGGGGAGGGAGTGGGAGGTGATGGGCTGGGCAGTGGTCGGCAGGGGGGCGGCGAGGGTATCGGAAGTGGGCGGCAGAGTGATGTCAGCGGCGAGAGGGAGGGCATGCAGGCGGAAAAGAGAAGGCAGGTGGCCTCGGGCGACCCGCACTCGAGCCATGCTGCCCCCCTCCCCCTGCTTCTCCTGCTGCTCCTTCTGATGCTTCCGCTGCTGCTTCTGCTGTTTCTTTTGTGTCTGAGTCTGTGGTTGCTGCTGCTGCTGGTCCGGGGGCAGATGGATTTCCACAAAGTGTCGATACTCGGGGAACTCGCTTCGTAGATCAGCCTGGGGCAGGGCAGGGAGAAGAGGGTGGGAGAGAGAGATAGAGGCGGGGGGTGGACAGGAGGGACAGGCTGCGGGAGTGAGTGGTATGGAAGGGAGGGCATGAGATCCATCGCATCACTTCAAGAAGCCACTTCTGAGACGTCTCGAAACCAGAGCTGCTTGCAATGCAGCGGGAAGGGGGGGGGGAGAGGCTAGGAGGGGGGCGGAGGAGGGGTGGTAGGTGGAGCAGGAAGTTGGGCTTACCCTGAGCTTCTGAGCCTGTGCAGTGGCAGCTAGCGCCACACCATTCCCACTGCCACCGCCGCTCCCACCACCCCCTCCCGGACTCCTCTGTCCAAACGGCAGAAAGCATGACATCACTCCCCCAGCCGCCACCCCCCCTCCTCCACCACCTGGGGTCAACTCCTTCAGGTGCTGCCTCAGGTGCTTCAGGTGCTTCAGGTGTTTCACACTCAAATTCAGCGGCACCTCCAGGGTCCTGACAGTCTGTGACAGCTCCAGCATGTGATTCGCCAGCTGGGCGGCAGAGACCCCCCCTATAAGCACACCCACGGTCTCGGCGCCATATACGCCTCCCCTGGTCGCGACCATCTGGGGCAGCACGCGCAGCAGCAGCGGGGGGAGCTTGGAGGCGGGGGGCGCGTGGGGGAGCACGACGAGAGCGTGTCGGGAGAGCCACCCGGGAGGGTCGCTGTCGCTGCCAGTGCCAGTGTTGGTGTTGGTGTTGGTACTGGTGCCAGAAAAACGTGGTGATTTGGGGTTTGATGTGCTGGGCGCGTTGGGGCTGGCCCTCCCTCCTGCTGGCGTTGATGCTGCTGCTGCTGCTGCGGTGGGTGTTGCAGCGTCTGGTGCGAGCAGTCCCTTTTGCAACCGAATGTCCCACACCGCGTGCTGCAGTCTGGTGGGCGGATTTGGGAAGTGGGGAGAAATGAGGGTCCCTCCACTGGTTGGGTAAAAAAAAAAAATGGGGGGGGGGGGGGGGGGGGGAACGCTTGCTCACTACTATGACTAGTTACTATTTCGTTTACTCTTACTATTATAATTGCTATACATATTTCTATTACCACTATCAACACTCGCTGGGTGACTCACCCGAGCAGGCAGCAGATGGAGCGCCAGGCGCCATACTGAGTGGAGGAGAAGCGCTCGTCTGTCAGCAACAGCACCTCCGCCCACTGCTGCTGCCCCCCCGCTGCCCCTGCGCCCACCACCCACTGCCCCGTGGGACTGCTGCCCCCGCCAGCCGTGCCCGGCACATACCCCGGTACCAGCCGCACCTGCTTGCGCCTGCAAGAGGGGGAAAGGGATGGGTGGGGTTCGGGGTGGCGATGGGGGTGGCCCAGTGGGCGTGGGGTGGGCAGGGAAGGCATGGTGAGGAGGAGGGCCGCTTATGATCCCGTGGGGTTGCCTGCGCCAGCCGTGCCTGGCATGGCATGTACCCAGACTGAGGTGATTTCTTAGGCGCCTCAAAAATCAACTCAATGCTCGCGGTTTTGAGGCGTCTCAAAGATCCCGTGGGGTTGCCCGCGCCAGCCGTGCCTGGCATGGCATGGCATGCCTGCGTTGGCCGTGCCTGGCATGGCATGTACCCAGACACCAGACGCACCTGCTTGCGCCCGAGGGGCGGGGGAGGGGGGCGGGGGGACGGGGAAGTGGGGATAGGGAGGGGGGAGGCTGGGCTGGGCAGGGAAGGCGGGGTGAGGAGGGCTGCTTGCCTACAATCCCCCCACGGGACTGCCTGCACCAACCGACAAGGCCACCAGAGCAGGGACTGCACGCCTACAATCCTAGCTGAGCACAACCCGCACCTGCTTGCGCTTGAGAAGGGAGGCGGTAGGGTGGGGGTAGGGGTGGGGTTGGGGATGGGAAGGAGTGGTGAGGAGGGCGGCCCATGATCTCCCCGGGCTGCCTGGGTCAGCCGCGAACCACAGCCCGTACTCCCCTGCATCCCCTAACACGTCACATCCCCTAACGCCCCTGCAAACTGCCCACACTTGCATACCCCACCCACCCACCCACCCACCCGCCTTCAACGCTTGTGCCTCCCAATCATCCCCTCCCCCTTTCTCACCGCTTGTGGGAGCGCTGTCCGTTTGCCACGAGCTCGGCCGATACCGATGCGAGGGAGAAGGGCGCCGGCAGCGACGAATCGTCAAGCGCCAGGTGGACGTCGATGGTCACGCTCTCGTGGGCGGCGAGGGGCGGCAGGAACTCCCGCTTTTCCCGCCGCTGCCTCGTGCCTGCTGACCTCTCGCCTCCCCGCTTGAGCGAGCCGGGTGTGAGAGCCCCCCTGGCGTTGTCCCTCTCGCTGTCACTCTCACTCGCCCACTCCACTGCAGCCACCACCTCCACCTCTCCTTGCAGCCTGGGAGGGGAGGGGAGGATGAGAGAGTGTGAGAGAGAAAAATGGGAGGAACAGGAGAGATCGGGAAGAGAAGACTCAACTGCAGCCACCACCTCCACCTCTCCTTGCAGCCTGGAGATGAGGAGGGTGAGAACGGCAGGGAGGGCGAGGGGAGAGGGGAGGGAGGGAAGAGAGAGAGTGGGAGGGAGGGAGCAGGAGAGATAAGGTCGATGTCATTCCACTGCTGCCACCACCTCCACCTCTCCTTGCAGCCTGGAGATGAGGAGGGTGAGAACGGCAGGGAGGGCGAGGGGAGAGGGGAGGGAGGGAAGAGAGAGAGTGGGAGGGAGGGAGCAGGAGAGATAAGGTCGATGTCATTCCACTGCTGCCACCACCTCCACCTCTCCTTGCAGGCCGTTACGGCAGGGAGGGAAGAAAAAGAGAGGGAAAGATGGAGGGAAGAGAGAGTGGGAAGGAGATGCGGAAAGGAGGAGGAGAGATCAGGACGGAGTGAGGCTTTAAGAGGTGGGGAGGAGCACGTACGGGAGGGCAGAGAGAGTGAGGCACGCAGAGGGGGAGAGGAGCACGTACGGGAAGGTTGAGTTGTTGGTGAGCGTGAATCGGATCGCCAGCTCATCCCCAATGAGCATCTCGTTGGGAATCTGCACCGCGTCGCACGACACGTCGGGCGGCAAGCATGGCGCATCGGGCGGCAAGGAGCGTCCGCTAGTGGACTCGTATGGCTCCACCGCAAGGGAGCCACCTTCACTCCCATCGTCATCCTCTCCTCCACCCTCTCCTTCATGCTCTCCTCCATCCCCACCTTCATCTCTTTGCCTGTACGCCCGTAGCTCGTCCCCTCCTCTTTCCCGGCCCCACTGCTCCCCTCGCCCCTCTCCCGCCAGCGCCGAGCTCTGCCCACGCAATCTCCGCGGCTCCTCTCTGTCTCCCACCATCTCAGCTACCGCACCACGAGCCTGCTGCTGCTCATGCTCATGCTCATGCTCATGCCCATGCTCATGCGTCTGCTGCTGAAGCGGCGACCACCCCGGCCCTTTCTTGAGCGGCATGTACTCATCTTCAAGACTGGCACTCCCGCCGCCACCTCCGCCTGGCCTCAGATACTCGCCTCCAACATTCACGCATCCAAGCCCCACTGCCTCTGCCTCCGCACTACCCTCACTCCATCGTCCATCCTTCCAGCCCCTCTCTCCCCCGCTACCTGCCCCCCTGCCCCCTTCACTATAGCGACGTACCCCACCCCTCCCATCCCCGCCCCTCCCATCCCCGCTATAGTGGTCTTCGCTGCTGGCCCAAGGCCGCCTCAGCCTCGCCCTGTCCTCTGTTTCCCGAGCGTACAACTCTCTCTCTCGTGGGAACGCCTCTCCCTCCATTCCCTCCACTCCCTCCACTCCCTCCACTCCCTCCACTCCCTCCATTCCCTCCATTCCCTCCGTTCCCTCCAAAATCTCCATTCTATCTGCATGCGAACCACCGGAGTAAGGCCCCTCCGCCCACGGCCTTGCAGCAGCCTCCCCATCGGAGCGTTCGGAGGGGGTAGCCTCGGAGAGCTGGGAGAGCGAGGCGTGGGAGAGCGAGCCTTGGGAGCGGTGCGACTGGAACATCTCCTCCTGGAACCGGTCGAAGCTGCGCCTCTCACTGCTCATCGACCCTCCCGTGCGCGGCCGATTCGACAACCCCTGCTGCTGCTGCTCTTGCTTCTGTTGCTCTTGCTGCTGTTGCTGCTGCCGGTAGCTTCCAGGGTCATTCTGACTGCCGCCTGTGTAAACCTGCTGCCTCCCCCCACCCTCCCTCCCCGTCACACCTTGTCTTTCCTGCTCTCCTCTTTGCTCCTCCTCCTCCCCGTCTCCTTGCTCCCCCTCCCCCTCCCCCTCCCCCTCCCCCTCCGCATCCTCCTCTATCACCATACCCAGGAACCGTCCGGAGAGGGAACGGGGGGAAAGCGGGTAGTCTAAGGAGCCCTCCTCCTCCTCCGCGCTGCCACTGCCGCCCATGCTTCCCCCTCTACTTCCTCCACCCGTGCTCCCCCCTATGCTTCCTCCGCCAATGCTGCCACCAATGCTTTCCCCAATGCTCCCCCTGAAGCTTCCTCCGACGCTGCTTCCCCCCATGCTCCCACCCACGCTTCCCCCCATTCCCTCCCCACCTCTACCCCCGCTCCTGCTCCCGCTCTCCCCTCTCCCGCCACCGCCCCTGCGCCTCCTCGCGCGCCTCTTTCCCCCGCCACTCCCCCCGCCACTCCCCCCGCCATTCCCCCCGGCGAGGCCACCCACATTACCGTCCGCACCCCCACAGCCACCCCCATCCACACGACCATAATTGCTGTTATCCCCGTCCGTATGCCCAGAGCTATGGCGGTCGCCGCCATCCACGCTGCTGTCCGTGTCATTAAAGAACAGCACTCGCTGCCCCTCCCCTCCCTCGCTCTCCCCCTCCTCCTCCTCACTCATCTCCTCCTCCTCCCCAAACTCCTCCTCCTCCCCCTCCTCTCCTTCCTCCTCCTCCTCTCCCTCCTCCTCTCCCACCTCCTCTCTCTGCGCTTCCTCTTCCCTCTCCATCTCGCTTGTTGCTCTTTCCTCGTCTCCTCCTCTTCCTTCCACTCCCTTTTCGCGCCCACCCGCCTCCCTTCTCCACGCTACCCCCATCTCCCTTATCAATTCCCCAGCCTCCTCCTCCTCCCCCTCCCGATCCCCCTCCCCCCCCCGGTTCCCCTTTCTCGCCCAATACCCTTCCGCAGACCCCGCTTCCGCCAGGCTCCCGCTGCTGCGCGACCGGTGAAACCGCCCAGACGAGCCTCTCGCGCTCCCACCAAAGCTATACCCGTCATGAGCATCCTCGTCTTGGCGCAACCCGTTATAATCTTCCTGGTCTGCACCTGAGAACCGAACCTGCCCATGCTTCTGCCGCCGCCGCCGCCCCTGCTGCTGCGGCTGCTGCTGCTGCTGCTGCTGCCGACCCGAGGCTTGCCCATTCCCACTCCACCCGTCATGCCTGTTCGAAACCTGCACCGAACTGCTTTTTGCGACCGTGATAACACTGGTTACCCTATTCGTCCGTTCGCTACTGCTTCTATAGAAATCCATTCCATCCACCGCCCCGCTCCCCTCTCCCTGCTCCGCCTCCGCCTCCTCCCCTTCCTCCCCCTCCGCCGCCTCCTCCCCTTCCGCGCTATCCCACTCATCGAACATCTCCCCGCTCTCGTCTATCTTCCCAAACCACCGCGACGGCAGCGACTGCATACGGGACGGCGGCTGTAGCGGCGGAGGCTGTAGCAGAGACTGTCGTTGCTGCTGTAGCGACTGTAGCGGCTGTAGCGAATGCTGTTGCTGCGGCTGCTGGCGCGACAGCGATTGTAACCGCGACAGCGACTGTAGCCGCGACAGGGTCTGTAGCTCGGGAGGATCCGCGCCTGCACTCCGTTCGGTGTTGTAACTATGCGAATGTCGCAAACGTCGCACACTACCACCACCGGGACCACTACTGTTGCTGCTGCTGCCGGCAATGCCGCCTCTGCCGCCAGCGTCCGTGGCACCAACGCCGGTCGCAACACCAACTCCCGCGCCCCTGGCCCCTCCCCAGCTGCCTCCCTCCCCGCTTCCGCCTCCGCTTCCGCTTCCGCTGGCGCTGCCATTTGCGCTATTCTTCCCCTTCCTCCCCCCGCTCCGCGTAGTTTGCGCCGCGCAGTAGTCATACTCCAGTGGCGGCGCAGGGGCGGCTTCCGTCGCCTCCCAGCCCGCCAGAGGAGCTTCCTGCGCCCATCTGCGCGGAGTTTGCGCGTTTTGCGCGTTGGGCCCGCGGGTAACAGCAGCAGCGGAGTTGGTAACCATAGTAGCGTTACCAGGACTGCTGCTGGCAACAGATTTACGAATGCCCGTAGAAACGCCCGTGACATTGCTGGGATTGACGGTCACAACTGTCGGCGTACTCGTTAGAGCACTGCTAGGACTAGTATTGCTAGTAGCGAAGCTCTGCCACCGAAGCGCGGAGGAATCTGAGGTCGTGTCGCTCGGCGACCAAGCGGTGCCGCCCGCGGGGTAACCGCCGCTACCAGTACCATAATAGTCCCCGATATCCGCAGCCTCGCTATGAACACCGCCACGGTGCGGCGACATCGCGCCGCCATGGTGCGGCAGCGCGGGGAGAGCCATGATAACGCTGCTGTCGTCTTCCCTGGAAGACGCTACGGGCGACAGAATCAGTTCTCCGTCAAACCTGGGGCTCTGATGAGCATAAAAATCGTCATATCCGTTGCTGCCGCTGTCGCCTGATAGTGCCACGTCAGCCTCTGTCACCGGCTGCAGCCAACCCGCTGGTGAGTTACCAGCGGCGGAGGGGGCGGCGGCGGCGGAGGCGGAGGCGGGGGAAGTTGTCGTATCAACGGCGCCGCGCAGTAGCGAACCGAACGCGCCAATTATAGCGCCGCTGCCGCTGCGAGCAGCCGTTCCTTTCGCGTTACTACTACTAGTCGTGGTGCTACTACGATGATACTGTAAGGCCGCATTGTTGATGTTACTATTTTCATCCCAAGAAACGCGACTAGAAGCCTGTGGTAACGAATCAGAGACGTTAGATTTGTCGCGCGAGCCAGCGGCGGCGCCAGAGGCCGGCGGCCTGGACTGAGGCGTGCTTTCGCGCGACGACCAATCGACGGACGGGACGACGTCGATGGCGTTACGGGGCGACCCGCGTGGGCCAAGGTTCATTCCTTGAGCTCGTCGCACGAGCCCGTCGCCGCCTGAGGCTTGTCGCACGAGTCCGTCGCGCGACGGTCGCATCATGATTAGTGCGCGCAGTGTCGGGTCGTTAGTACTCCGGCGCGACACTTCCATAGTAGGTGCGCCGTCGCATCGAATCGAGACTATCAGTTCTCCGTTGCTGCCATTCGAAATGTGCCAGCAGCGTTGGATGCGTACAGCATGGGTGCTGATACTTCTAGAACTGCACCACACGTACTATCGCACATGCGGTACAGTATTATCGGCCCATGCAACGGGTGGGTGTATTACAGACAGTGGACCTAATCATGTGCAAAGCTCTTTGTCACCTCTCCTTCACTCGTGAGCCTGCCTCCCAGCTCTTGGTGCGAGCAGGATGGTTTGAAGAAGGGGTTTCGATCCCGAGTGCTCCAGTGCGGCTAGAATTGTGAATGTCCCATGTGGTGGAGTGGACAGTGGCCTTGTTCGGCAGGAACTCTGCAGGAACTAACGATGTGAGGGTGGTACACCTAACTAGGGTTTAGCAACGATCCTACGGAACAGTTGGAGATCGTGAGATGTTGGCGATCCTACAGAACAGTGTCCTACCGACTTCTGTCCAGTAATGATTTCGATGTTTTTGATTGGCTAGCACTGATAACAATTGTCACTGTGTAGGACACTGCTGCGTAAGATCGCACTACTGTTCGTAAGATCGCAACTGTTCCGTAGGATCGTCGCTAAAACCCTAGCAGGTGTTCCACGCCCTAATGAAGTGCGTGGAGGGTGGAGGGTGTGCAACGTCGCTAAAACCCTAGCAGGTGTTCCACGCCCTAATGAAGTGGTTCTCATACACCCAGTATGACCGACAGTTCGTTTCACAATTCACAGATAAACGAAAAGGAAAGGGTCATTAATCAAGAAGCATCGAGGAGGGAAAAGATACGACATACGGACGGGAAACATTTCTGTCACTTGTCTGTCAGTGTGAGCTCCTCTTGTCAGGGGACAACAACGTACAGATTATCAGGGTGAGACTATATTTCAAAGGGTGAGACTGTAACTCGTATCTGCTGTAAAACTAAATTCAAGACAAGCAATCTTGGCCTATCCAAACACAAGCGCAATTGGAAGTCTCGAGTCCAAGTTGTTTGCTCCTAAGGGAGAGAGAGAGAGCAGGAGAAGGAGGCGCGGAAGGACAAAGAGGAGAGGATTATGGCCGGGGCAGGAAACCGCGTTATGACGTAATTAACGCGGGTTTAAGAACTGTACATTATAATTTCAACGAATAGTAATCATAATACTAAGATTCAGTCATAAGTGGTGAACTGTGCATGGGGAAACTTCTGGCTCTGGTTCCGCAAAAGTATGTCTTCCAGTCACCGACTCCACGGTTTCATGGATTTGCAGCCAGCTTTGGATTCGATTGTGGGAGGGACGCTGGGAAAGAAAAGCACTGTAGCAACGAACTCGTCTCCTCTGCGTGCCCTTCCTTTTCTTTCGTGCACCCGCCACCTCACCTTTCCTCAAGCCCGAACCCGAACACGAATTCCTCTGAATCCCATCCGAACCTCACTCAACTATCCTCCACCCTCTGTAATACAGCTTTGATTCCAAGCGTGAGGGGGGCTGGGCAAGGAAACCCACACCAACCAACCCAGCAGCACACACCGCCGAGCCGACCCCAACAAAAGGTGCCGTTGGCAAATCCGCCACATAGCCTGAAAGGCGGTCCGCGTGGTCCGTAAATGCTGCACCATGTCGCAGAAAACTCCAAACTAAAAGTCACTACCAAACGATTTGCAGCTGGATGAAATGTCCGGCCAAGTCACTCAAATGACGCCTTCATCTGCAGTGACTGCAAGCTGCTGGACTTTCAAGAACCACCACCACCATCAAGAACACACTTTTTCCAATAGGTTTAAGCTTATAAGTTTCAACTTTACAAACTAAACAAAGCTGTTTGCAAGCAAACCCTATCAGCACGGGCATCTACTTCTCGTACTCGTGCAAATCATGTGCTTCATCTGCAAATAGGCTCGTATCTGCCTCCCATTCAACCGCAGAAACAGGAGGCATGCCCCTCACCTTGCGCCTCATATTATGCTTGTGCCAGTCCGACTTCATATGCTCCCGAAACAACTTGGTGTCATCAAAAGTTGCTCCATCCCCACATGTGCTGCACCGCTGCTGCCGTCCACTCACTTTACCTCCCGCACTTGAACCACCTGCTGCACCACCACCTACTGTAACCCCATCTGAAACAGCAACACCCCCCAGTCCTCTGGTAGCTGCATCTACCAGCAACTCAGCATCCCTTCCAGCACCACCACCACCAGCACCTGCCCTCCCACCTCCCCTCCCCACAGCCTCTGTACCTCTCTGCAACGGATCCCTGACTGCCTGAGCTCCCCTATCCTCTGCGGCTCCTGCTGCTGCTCCTCCCCCATGTGCCGTCATGGCAGTGCCAGCAACCGTTGCTTCGGATTCGTCGAGCGAGTCAAAGGACAGGTCGCCCTCCTGCTGCACTGCTGCCGCCCGCACCTCCAGCCGCCCCCTCACGCGCTGCATGAGCGAGTCTACCTCTCGGAACCGGCCCGGCTCGATCTGGCACACCTGGACCCACGCAAGGCAGGCAGGGCAGGGAGAGCACAGGCAGGCAGGTATCACAAAGAATCAAAACATACCAATTTTGACATGACTTCATATCACCGGGTAGAGACAGCATGTTGGAGCGACATATGCAACGGATGGTGTGCGAAATGACCCAGAAACATCAAGACTGGGGCAAAAGCTTTGTAATGTCTCACTCTATGACACACGAATCTCCACCATAAGAGACATGTGCACGTGACCTCTGTGGGGCTGTAGGGCTGCTTTGAGATGCCTCACGACCCTGTTAAACCCAACCGACTCACCATGGAGACCTGCGCGGGTGCGTTTTGGGCGGAGTCCACTGGCTGCGCCTGGGAGCGCATGAGCGCACCCATCTGCTGCAGCTCTGCCTGCACTGACGGCAGCGCCGTGGAGGGAAGCACGAGGCGCAGCTCCATGCGCGCCCGCGTGATGGGGAAGCGCTGCGACAGCTGGCGGATCAGATCCAGGGCCTGGTGGCATTGTGGGTTGGTGGGGTTTGAATGGCGTGCCGGCCGGCCGGGTGGTGAAGGGAGAGAGGGGAAGAGAACGGGAATCCGGGTTGAGAGCAAAAAAAAAAAACGCACTGTTTTAAAGAATACAAGCCTGGGAAATCTGAGACGTCACCTAATTTGTCCTTTCCAATGCTATGCACTTGCCTGCTGCTTGGAGGATCGATTGGGGTCAACGGAGAAATGGATGTCGCGGATAAACTTCTCCACGATGCCCACCGGATAAGGCCGGTGCGTCTCAGGATTCACAGTTCGCTCCGTTACAAGGCACGTTATGTCCCTCAATAACGCGGATGCCTGCATCTCCCGCTCCTTTTCGGACACCTGGTACTCCCCTTTCTCCAGAATCTGCAGTTGTGCAATGTCAGTAGGATCCCAAAAAAAAAATATTAGAAAAAATCCGGAGATAAACGCATCCGCCTGAAGGTTGCCATCACCTGTACCTACCTTTCTACTTTGAGGGTCATGGGTCAGGGTTTCTGGTTCAGGGTTTTTGAAAAGGCATAGCATGCACAAAGCTTCAGGATGCTTTCACAGAGACGACAGGGGCTCACCTCAAGGCACACCTTCTCCTGGTCGTCCGTGCCAAACGCTGCGACGAGATCCTTGGATTTCGCGAGTGTGCCCTTCCCCACGTTGGAGAACACCGTCTGGCTCTGGAGCACCTCGTCCAAGTCCTTCTCGCTGTCATGTCAGATTTGAGAAAGGCAACGGAAACTTTTGAGACGTGTCAGATTCCGCGATTGTGCTTCCCGCGACGTTGGAGAACACCGTCTGGCTCTGCAGCACCTCGTCTAGGTCCTTCTCGCTGTCATGTCACCAGGGGGAAATCGACGATCAAAATGAATGAAAGAACGGCGATAGAACGATTTGAGATGTGACATCTTTTGCGACGGAGCTTTTCGCCTGGTTTCAGAACGCCGTCTGGCTCTGCAGCACCTCATCCAGGTCCTTTTCGCTGTCACCAGGTAAAAGTTTGACGACCAGAAAAACAAAATAGGGGGACGGGAAGCGCCGTGGAGATACCGAGGCATGACGGACAAGGAAGGTGGCCGAACTCGAGCAACGATGGAATCCCGCGCATACGAAACAGGAACACAGCGAATATCAAAGCCCATAAATCTAGAATCCGGCCGCTGTTAGTCACCCGCCGGTAGGAATCGGAGTGAAACGCAGAAAGCATCGGGGAAAACCTTACACGCGTGTCCTCCAGGAAACCACCTTGTTCTTGTAGCACGCGATCTCGAACCTCATCCCGCCCTTTTTTAACCTCACGACCGCGATATTCGTCAGGCGCTTCTGCCCTATCGGTTGCTTGTAAGCCGACATGGCGGTGGCGGTGTTCCTAACACTGACTTGGTGGGATCTATGTCTGTCTGTTTGTGCTCCCCCTGATTGTTGTTCCTCAGCCCTGTTAGTTCCAGCACAGGCACTCGTACGCGGTAGTCGCTACCTCAGAGCGAACGTCTGCCGGTAAAGGGTTAGTCATCTAATAAATGCCTGTTCTGTAAAATATGTCTTCTATGTATGCATTTGTTCAAGCTCAACCTCCTCAAATAGAACTAGTGTTTCCAAAGCAGCTCTGAAGAGGAATACTTGGTGATCAGCAACAATGGGCACCATATGTGGATGTTTTATTCATCACTTTAATATACCAGCTTTTAAGCAAGCAGCTAAAATTATGAAGGTAGACCCAACTTGAAATTGGAGGGCATGCATGAGCCAAAGGGATGAGTGGGCACGCTTCGCTGGCATGCGAAGGTGGGGATTGGACAGAAATCACATCACACACGTGCTGCCTGCAAGGAGATTGGTGAATAATATGGAAGAACCCCACAAGGTTAGTGCTCCTCGTGTTGCACAAGTGGGGAATAGCTAAGACGGATTTTCGTGTGAACAAATCAACGATAGGGAAGTCAATAATTTAAATGTGAGGTAGGGTGAAAAGGCAAATGTGGTATGGACGGGTGTAGTGTATGACGGGGGGAGAGTGCTGTTAGGTGAGGAGGTTCGGATAAGCTGGAAAGAGTATGATGTATGGCAGGATCAGCCAAGCAGTGCCGTATGGAGAGAGGGGAGTGAGGTGGATTGGGGACGAGGTAGAGGGGAGTAGGGACAAGAGATAATGACATGGGTCACAAGGGGGAGTGAGGTGTATAGGGGGCTCGATGAGGTGGGGACAGGAAGGAGTATGGCCAGGAGGTGGGCGAGAGAGGTGGGGAGACTTGTGTGAGTTGGGTGCGGATAGGGGTTAGGTGAGGCGTCAAGGAGGCCATGTGGGCCGGGGGAGAGTTTGGTAGGCAATGAACGGCGTGAGGTGGGGAAAGAAGATGGTGAGGTGGGAAGGCGGGATGGGGTGCGGAGGGCAAAGAAGCATGTGATGGCTACAATGGCAGGTGTGGTGGGGAAAGGAGAGAATGAGGTGGTGCGAGCAAACAGCGAGTGAGGCGTAGACAAGGAGCATCTGAGGTGTGAAAGGTGTTAAACACTATAATTTCATACATAACTGCATGTTGCATCATTGTAGGATAATTCATTGTTGACCCTTGTTGGTGGTGTACCTTTCCCACCCTTGCCTTGCCTTTATTTGTTCTCCCCTCTTGACAGGGAAACATCTTCTCCTTTCTCTTGTTTTCCACTCTCATCCTAAAACCTAGTTTCTCTAGTGGCCTCTAGTGGCCTAACACTAGTGCAAGACGGCCGCCACCACGTCCCCCCTCCCTGGGAATACAGGAGCCTCGCCCTTTTGTCGCGTAGCCTAGAGCGCGCGGTCCTCCTGGCTCGAGCAGTAATAACACGGTAGGAACTAAGCAATGCATTGTAATGGCATAGGCAGTGAACTAATGGCACTGTCAGCATACGTGACGAGAGTGTCCTTCGAGGTCTAATTGACTTCCCAAAATGTCCATCGTACGTGCTCATTGATTCCAAGACCCCGTCGCGTACGCTATTGTGCACACGTAGCTGCGCGCTTAGATTTCTCTCCATTTGAGACACCGTCAGTCACGCCACTCATGAGCATTATGCACCCCTGGTCCATTTTGAAATTCTAGTTGGACCCAACTAGAATGGTCGTGGGCACGTCCTTGTCACCAATGGGTTGTTCCGTCAGATTTAACTCTCCTCATCCAATGGAGGTTTGTTTCTCGTGTCTTGAACCCTGCTTCGAAGAGCTAGGTGGGCAGGTTTGTTTGTCGCACGGTGCTCAAATCAGTCGAGCAAGTGGGACGCGGGAACCAGATCTATTTACTCTCGACCAATTTGAGTCCGTGGTTTCTGCTTTTGAAATCGTCAATCTATCACACTCAGAGATTAGTGTTTACCACTGTTTTTCAGTCCCGATCCCAAACAGTAGCTTGCACTTTTTCCATTGCAAAATATTCCCAACAACACACTAGCATATCCTGGGCCATTTCAAGTAGGGATGGGGGTCACTATTTTGCATGCGGGCTTTAACTTAGCTATTATCGACATGGTACGGAGCGTGGTTAAACTCCCAGGCACGTTGCCTACTTAGTCATGGCGGCCTCCCTTGCTGCTAGTGGCGCGGATTCTGCCACGCCCATAGCTGCGCCGGTCGCGCCTGCCCCCCCCCCCCCCCCCCCCCCCCCCCCCCCCCCCCCCGCAGTGCGCCCCTTGAGGGCCGCATCGTGCCATGCTGGCCCTGTTCTGCCCGGTCGTGGCCGCCCCATGACCGCCCCGCCACGCCCCGTTGCACGTCCAACCGCGCCCGCGCATTCTGCTGCGCCAGCGCCCTGCTGCGACGGCGGACGTTGTGGGGGGGAGGCAAGGGGGGGGGGGGGGGGGGGGGGGGTGGCGACTTTGCCGCCTCGGTCACACGATGTGGGCCTGCACCGCCAGCTGGTACCCCTCCTACCGCCCTGTCGCGCCTGCCGCTGTGGAGAGGAGGCTAAGGGGGTGGCGGGAGTGAACCTGCAGCGCTAGCCGCTGCCCGAACTGCTGCCCTGCCGCACCTGCCACTGTGGAGGGGTGGCTGAGGGGGTGGTGGGAGTAAGCCTGCAGAGCCAGTTGCCGCCCATCTCCTCCTCTCAATCTCTCTCCACTTGCCCTCATTCGTTCCGCTGCGCCTCTCCCCTCCTCGTATTTACTCCTCCTCCTCTTCTCATTCCGCGTCGCACCTGCCACGCCTCTGATGCACCTGTCGTCTCTCCACCTGCCACGCCTCTGCTGCACCTGCCGTCGCTCCACCTGCCACGCCTCTGCTGCACCTGCCGTCGCTCCACCTGCCGCGCTTCTGCCGCACCTGCCATCACTGCACCCGCCGCGCCTTTGCTGCACCTGCAGATGCTGCCACTGCAGTCGCCAGATCCACAGCCTGCCGCTGCTTCTTCCGCTGCGCCTTTACTTGATTCTACCCTTCTTCTTCTATTGGGTGGTGTACTCCTTCAGTGAGTGTTCTTGCACAGGTTTCTGCCCCAAGCAGTTACGAATGTGTGTTAAACAATACAATTTTATATACGGTATAACTGCCTATTGCAAAATTGTAGGGTAGTTCATTGTTGACCCTTGTTGGTGCTGTACCTTTCCCACCTTTGCGTTGCTTGCCTTGCCTCTATTTGTTCTCCCCTCTCGATAGTGAAACCCATTCTTCTTTCTCCAGTTTTCCACTCCCATTCTAAAACCTGATTTCTCCGGACTTAGCTATTATCAACAAGAGGGAGCGGCATAGTTGAGTAGAGGAGAGAGAGAGGCGGGGACAAGGGGAGTGAGGTAGAGAAAGAAGGGCGTGAAGTTGTGACAGGTAGGGTGGGGTGGGATGCTGTATTATATGGTAGAGACCCATATGCGAGATGAGGGAGGGGGGAGTAAGAAAGTTTATACACGACAATCTTGATCATATTACCAATAAATTAATTCAAAGTCCTGAACACAGATTCAATGGTGCTGCATTTATTACATGAACAAATAACTGAAATATGTAGAAGTAGGGCTAGCGCCAATACTTGCTTTGGCCATTTAAGATATTGTAAGATGAGAGATTCTGTCCAAATTGACCAGTGCTGACAAAAAGAGCATCTAGATACGCTGGAAACATTGGATCCCCCCAAACTTGAATACCGTATTTGGATGATTGGATAAACTATGATGTTTTGATAGTGGAGCGTAGATTGGTGTTACAGGGGGGTTTACTGTTCATTCTGAACAGTACTTCCCATCGTTATCATCATCTTATCTTCTTGGATTTCCTAGTGCCACGTGGCTCTCTAGTTTCTTGCCTTCTACCTTCTAGTCCCACGAAGTACTTTCCAACTATCGCTCTTGCATGCTATGTAATGCTTGCTTGTTTTCACCAATATCAACCAATTCTCATTCAACTATTACTCAGTTACTTCTTCGCATATGTCGCTAAGACTTCCTTCGCCAAAGTCTTCCGCCGCGCTTCATCCTCAGTTTAGTCAATCCCGCTATTCTTTAGCGGATTTAGGCCAAGGGGCCTAACACTTGGTATCAAGAGCCTTCGCGGGGAGCGAATTCCAACGAGCGACCATCGACGACGAGACTACGACGCCATCGTCCCGCGGTGCCGACTTGCAGACTTGGAGTCGTCGAGCCGACATGGATGAAACCATGACCGCTCTCCCCAACGACATGGGCAACACGCTTGCTCAACTCATGCGCCAACTCGAAACGTTGACGCTGGAAAATCGTCAGGTACGGGCTGAAATGCAACAGCTTCGTGAATTCGCATCTATTCCTCTTGGTCATGCCGAACCATCTCCTGCACCCAACACGTCGACTAGCGCAGAAGCGCTGCCGGAACGTCGAAGCGCGCTCAAGCCGCAGAAACCCGAGCCGTTCGACCCAAGTCAACGCGACGCGAACGTGCGGACGTGGATCTTCGTGCTCAACAAATACTTCGCCGCGAGCAGGGTGCAAGAGGCGGATGCGCAGCAGCGGATCGAGTACTCCATCACGCTGCTGAGGGGCCCGGCCTTGGAGTGGTGGCGCCAACTCACGCAAATTGCTGTAAGGAGAGCTCAATTAGACGGGTATCAACAGGGCGAGGGGCATGCAGCTGCAACTTCGAGCTTGAGAAGTTTAGCTTTGGGTGTTACCACGGTTCCGACGACATGGGAAGGATTTGAAGCGGCGCTGAAAAGTATATTCGATTTGGTGAATGCCTCCGAAGCTGCTAGGAAACGTCTGCGTCATTTCCGACAGATAGGAAACGTCCAGGAGTACACACGACGGTTCTTGAGCATCTGCAACGAGATAGACGATATAACGGAAGCAGAGATGTGCGATCGCTACCTCGAAGGGTTAAAGCCGGACATAGCGGAGATCATAGTGATTCACGGGTTGTGTTA